TCTAATCCCAACTACTTAGAGAATGTGCTTAATAATGAGTTACTAAATATTATGTTTGGTTAAGGTGCAATAAGCTCTCAGTTAATATCAAAAAGACAAATTATGTTACCTTTAGTCCGAGTCAGAGGAAACTCAACCACGGTTTTTCTCTCTCTTTTGGAGGTCAACCTCTAATTGAAAGCAATGAAACTAAATTTCTTGGGGTGTACCTAGACGAACATCTTACTTGGAAGTATCACATAAACTTTGTCTGTAAACAAATCGCTAAATCAATCGGTATTTTATCCAGGACGCGTTTCTATTTATCTTGTAAGACCAAACTCATGCTGTACTACACATTAATGTATCCTTATATTACTTATTGTAACTCCACGTGGTCGTCTACTTACGTATCTAATTTAAACAGAATTTACTATCTACAAAAGCGGGCTGTGCGAGCTATTACAAATCCAAACTATCGAGTACCTACTGCTCCTCTATTTTCCAATTTAGAAATTCTAGATATTTTCCAAGTCAATAAGCTCGATACTGCTAAATTTATGTTTCCCTACCACAATAATCTGCTGCCTCCACTCTTCCGCAATCTGTTTATGACAAACAGTCAAGTCCATAGATATGACACAAGAACAGCCAGTAATTATCGAGTGCATTCCTGTCGTACGAACGTAACATCAAGAAATTCACAATTCTTTACCAAGGACCTAGAATCTGGAACTGTCTTCCTGCATCTGTTACAACTTGTCAAGCTTTTCTGTCTTTAAGAGCAAAGTGCTAGAGTTTTTATTAAAATAGTTACTAAATTAGTTTAGCCGCACTTCTTCGCAGCCCTTATTTTTTATAATATTGTGATGTCGAGGTGGCCTCTCTTTATAAGCCTGGTGGTTTCTTGAGGTCTCCTCGCCTAACAACCTGCTGTATCCTGTTAAATTTGTTGTTAATAAAAGGCTAATAAATGATGATGATGATGATTGGGCAACTGCTTTTCATAAATACAGTCTACACACGCTCAAAAGATCCTTTTTTGAATTCCAACTTTAACACCACGAGTTCTGCGTCCATTTACTTTAACACGAAGGCTATGTTCCGACGGTCGACAAAATGACGAAGACCTCGAAGTAAAAACTGCGAATTTGGTCATAACACAAGGGCCCATTGGGTGGCTTTTAAAGACAGTGAATCTATGGCTCCTTCAGAAGTTTATTGATCACGAATTTGAGGAACGCGAGTTTCTACGAGGGGCTAAGCAAGCCTTGTGTGTTATCTCCGATCTAATAAACAGGGGAAGCTGGGAGGAAATGGAGGGAATAATGTCTGAAAAACTTGCAAGCGATATTCAACGCAACACTGACTTGATTGAAAAGTTGGGACCAGTGGTCACTTGGCAGCAAATTATATCCGCAAACATCCAGAAAGTGCAAGTTGGTTTTGCGGAGAACGGGAAAGGCAAATTAGTTGACATTCAAGTGGCGTTCATGTGTGCAAATCAAAACAAAGACGAGTTCTTTGAGAACAGCTTGGAAATGTTAAAATAATCGGCATTCCTACTCTGAAGATTGTGTATTACACATTCAGAAAATTCATCTTCCCTGATTCAGTTAGTGACTGGCATGTAGATGCCATTTCAAGACAGTAACACCAAGGGTGTATCATCATCCAGTTTCTTGAATATAATCCCAGAATGCACTGCATTCAAAAATTGGATTGTGAATCTAAAAAATCCACACTCTGAGTAGCCTGCAAAGCAGGCATATTTTGAAGCGTGAACAATGATGATACCATTTTCAGGACAAATGCTCTCCTGCTGTGTGCCCCTCCTCTCTTAGTTTTTTATTTGCTTTCAAGATTGTGGCTGTGATCAAAGTACCTGTGCGTTTTCTCTTAAAAAAACCTGTTCTGCAGGCTATGCTGTGAGTGCCACATCTGGATTTTTGGATTCATCATCTGTCTGTTTCTCTGGACAAGAATCTAATGTGTCAGATGCACCTGCTGGTAAGCTGCAGTTTTCCTTTGAAAATATGAGGTCTGCTGCAGTCTCATTCATGCTAGATAATTCATTTTCAGAATTCTTGCTATGTGCTGTTGACCTTCAATCCAACCTTGGTTACAAAAGTACAGTTCTGATCAAAATTTTTCATGAACATGGTAACTTACCGGTGTACCTCGTTGAATCAAGGATGGTGTGAGGGATACCCAACAGCATATGGTAATAAATGGTGTGAAATAGTGGTCATTTGGTTTTTCTAGTGTTTGCTGCAAATCTCTTCATTACTTGGATGCTTGGTAAAAACTATCCTCTAGCCTGTAGTGTAGGTGTAATATTCAGGCAAGAACATGCTCATTAATTTCTAAATGCAGCTGGCATTTTTGTTATTTATTTCAACTTCAAATCAGAAGGAAATAAGAGATTATTAAGTGTGAGTGTTGGGAGGCTTTTGACGCTATTTTAACGTTTTTAACAAGGCATCTTTATTCATATCATAAATGATCCATGACCAAAAACAAGCAGATAGTATCTGCGTGCTAGAAAATTAATCATTAAAATGATCATAGCCACTAAAAAGAAATTTGGCAATTTATTTCTATTTACCAATGATGAGAAAAGTGTACTCTGGATGTTTTAAGGCTGACACTGTCCCTTTCTGAAAATGTTCAGTAATAGGTTAACGACAATTTTGTTCTGGATTTGAGTAAGTTAAGCATCTTCCCTTGGTTTTTATGTTGTCATTGTTTTTGGTGATGTCCTTCTTAACAGTGTAACCTCTTTCCATCTATACGTATAACGAGGCCTTCCAGGAGGGGTGGGGGGAGGGGGGGTATGCTGTTGCTTTGTTGGTCTTTTCAGTGAGACTGCCTGTAAAGTTAGTTAGAAAAAAAATGCCACCATTGGCATAAAGTTTTGTGAAACTCAATTTTTTTTTTTTTTTTTTTTTTGGGGGGATTTTCAGCAGATATAGTACCTGAAAAGAATTGACTGTTATTAACCTTTCTCCCTTGAAAAGCCTCTGTAATATGAGTTAAGAACCCACAGTTAACATACAAGGACAAACTTTCTTTATACCAATGTTGAGCTGGTTGGTAAATTCAGCTGCAAATTGATTATAATGGAGTGTTAAATTGACAACTCGTGTTTATGTTAAGGCAATACCTCATTCAACCTTTGATTTAGTGATGTTAACGAACCTTTTACACTCACATTGCAGTACACACAAGGCCCTGTCTCATGGCACTTTAGAAGCCACAGTGATGATCAAAAAATAGAAGACCCTGGTAGTGTGGTCAACCTTACGTGGGATGGGTGGGTAAATAACAAAAAAACAAGGGCAAATCCCAATCCCGACGCAAATTGTATCCTGTCGTTGTGTTCATTTATCATTCATCATGGCATCATCGCAAAGGTAGCGAAAACGTCACTATTCAGAAAATGATTTCGAGTTTTTCGTATCATCGTCACGATTATTCCAAGCGTGACGAAGCAGACGAAGCTCCGTTTATAGCAATTACATTATAATTATCTGTGGGAGAAGCTAAAATCTAAACTGAGAATTTTTCAACACGAAGTAATAGTACCCTTTGAAGTAGATCACGGTTCTATAGGACGAGATATAGTGCATCAGTCATTATATCTTCATGGCCGGCTGCGTAGCCTGTTCCCTTAACTAGTTACTGACTCTTTACTGGGATGAGTTCTACGGCAACTTTTAAGTTAAAACGGGCAACAATAGCCTGCAACTTAGTTTGCAACATTGCTGCCAAACGAGTGGAAAAGGGGGTTGCTTTCCATTTAGGAAAAAAAAACCCGAAATTCGGTGGGAGCAAAAGTGGAATTTCCGATTGGTAAACAGTTGTTCCATTTGGTCATAAACCCCGGTACGTCGCGGTGCCCGACCGCGGACCTGGAACTGGTACAAATATGGAACACGACATTCCGTTCGGAAATTCCATCCAGGAAAACGGGCCCACCTTTTTATATTTTCCACTTTATCTGGGAATTTTCTAGCCTCCCACGCAGGCGTTTACGGGGGAGCTCGTTTTTCATCCCTCCCCACAAACACCTGCTCAACCGAAGACGATATTCCTTTCCCAAGCTTGGCCAATCACATTGTACTTCCCAAATTCTGGAAAGTTGACCTTGACCGTGAGGTAATCTGATATTTACTCGATCTGCATGAAACACTGGGAAAGCTTTCTGACCTCTAATAAATGTTAGATTCAGGGCAGCAAAAATAAGATTTAGTCAAATTTTACAATACTCCATGTACTACATAACCTTGGCGAAGGAAAGAAAAGAAGGAAAACGGTAACTCTTAGGACACGTTTTAGTCATGTTTAGCCTGTCAACACATCATTGTACCACCGTTGATTGGCTACTTAGCACGCAAATAAAACAATGGGAAAGAAATATTGTTTTCGGTTGAGCAGGCGTTTGTGGGGAGGGATGAAAAACGAGCTCCTTCAAAAACGCCTGCGTGGGAGGCTAGGTTGTTGCAAGTTTGACTTTTGATTGGATAAAATTTCGCGGGAGTCACGCCATACACGGGAGAGTTACGTCACTTGTTGCAAAACAAGTTTGCCTAGGGCCGTTAAAACGCGCAACACGTACAGATTTTGTTACAAAAAGTAGAACTAATCTCTACTTTCTACAACAACTTTCCACAACCTCTCAAGACAGGTTTGATGCGTGGGTGATAAAACGTGCAATATCGCTATTAAACTCGTTTTGCAGCAATATTGTAAAACAAGTTACCTGTTTTTTCTGCTCTTTTTACCGTACCTTTAGAGGCGGATTTATATCGAAGTACTTCCATCACTGTGAAGCGAAATCTCGCAAGCTAAGCAGGCTACCAAGTTCTGCACGTTATCGTGGTTGGAGCTAGTTAATTTCTTTCTTTATTCCTAACAATTCGACAGCGCGCGGTCGATAAATCCACAGCGGATTTTATTTCATTTTCATACGCGAGCTCGACGATCTCTGAGAAAAAAGAGGGTCTGTGAACAAACTACTGTAGGTTACTGTAAAAGTCTGAAAAGTTATGGTCAGTCTTGCTCTTAACTGAGTTCGGATTTGTTGAAAACCAAAGGTTGTTGTACAGTGGTAAAAAGTAGTTCGAAGACAGATACGTGCAACACTTGAGGCAAGACACAGGAAAATCTAGAAACTTTTCATATTTTGCAGTTAATTGTGTTTATATATACTTGACATTAATTGTCCTACACGATATTTATACTACATCCGGTTTGTTCTCTTTTCAAATTTTTATAATAATAATTCGACTTTAGAAAATAATATTTAAAATATCTATAAAAATAACTCAGTTCAGAAGGCGCTGTCTTATGGCGCGGATAAAAATTGTTTTAAACTATTGTTTCATTGGTTGACAGTTATCTATCGCCGGATATAAATGGTATCTGGTATGGATATAGTCCCGGGGAGGGTACTTCCTAGTAAAAGGCTAATGGGTATGTGCCGCTGCATGGGGTCGCAAATTTTCGAGAGTTTGAGGTTAAAAAATTTTTGTATCTAGGAATTTGACACACACAAAAATATAGTGAATTCGTTTCAGGATGATCGTCTTACTAGGTTTTATAAGGTAGATGCATAAACAGAAAGTGGTAAAGTAAATTACATTCGACTAAAAGTGACCAAGATAGGGACTATAATTAGCCGCACAATAGACTATAATGGGGTAGGGATTCTGAAAGACCAGCGGCACATACCCAGCAAAAACAACCGCGTCCCAAGGACGCTTTACCCTAGCGTTGGAGGTGGGCCCCACCTCCAAAGCTAGGGAAAAGCGCCCTGAGGACGAGGTTGCAACAAAAATTGACCCAAGTAGCTCCCCCTCCCCCTGAGGGCTATAGTTTTAACTAGTACAGTTCACATTCCATTAACTGTCCTCCTCTCTCTGTCCTCGGGCAAAGTTCAGAAATACTTGCTCTAAGGTTGTCTGACTAACAGAGTAATCTTCAATATTGAAGTTCAGTTTGACTCTCTCAATTGCCCCAAACAGCTGAGCCCACGTTATGCTGGTATCGCGGATGTGATAGTGGACCATGCCTTGATGCTCGTCTTTCAACACGCTTCCAGGGAATGAGCTCTCTATAAACTGCTTCAGTGGTGCAGTGTCGGGTGTGTTGCTTGATACTCGAGCTAGAAGCGTGTATCCCTCGCCAAACTTGTGTTTAAGATGCTGCGGGCTTCCCAGACATTTTAATCGCCCATTAACCATGATCGCTAGCCGAGTGCACAGAGCTTCACATTCCTCCATACTAAGAATAATAAAGGAGAAACGATTGTAAGCTTTACAACTAAAAATAAGAAAGAAATGAGGGGAACGAAAAAGACACAATGCGAAGGGAAGAAAAAATGTTTTGCCAGTGTCTTCAGCTTTTCTTTGCTTTGCTTCAGGTGCTTGCAAGGACTGAACTGATTTTTCAATCCTCGACGCTTTTCTGTAAACATTCCCAAGTAATTAACATAACTTTTTTCATCATTTTAGCATCCTAACTTTCTCTTCAGCATGGACCATACTCACCTATGTGACGTAATCACTATGCATCGTCCATCATCACGAACACGTGACAGTGCATCCCATAATAGTCTTCTCGCTACCGGGTCCATGCCAGTTGTAGGCTCATCCAAAAACACCACGGGGGGGTCCCCTACTAACGATATGGCAGTACTCAACTTCCGCTTGTTTCCACCACTAAAAAGGAGAGGTTTAAAAAATACCACTCAGTGACCTAGCCTGTGCCAGGGCTCTCAGATAGTAGGGTCTCTCTCTCCAGCCCCCCGCGCGTTTTTGATATCACTTTTCACTGCACCACTGCACTGCAATACCATCTTGGAACCTGCAACAGGCTACCTTTAACCCTGACTTAATTCGTGTCCCTCATATAAGCATTTACAGACAAGCTGAACTGAAGTATTACTAACCCCAATTTTTTGTTTTCGTTGAATAAGGGCACCTGATTGACTACTTAATTGTGCGATCCCCGTGTTTCTTCACAGTTTGAAGTAAGGTACTGTCTACCCCATTAACGAGCATTTGTGGGAGCTGGGTACGAGCTCTGCTATGACGACATCAAAGGCGACGTTTGCCGCGTTTTTTATTAAAATAAGCATAAGATCAGAAAGTGGCAAAGGAAAACGGGTTTTACGCGAATAGTATTCACTAGCCACCAAATTCAAAAGCATACCAATAGATATGTCATCTAGTTCACAGAGCAGTTAGGATTGGGAAGATTCGCACGCAAGTTTTCCAGTAGTGTAAGAATGAACAAAGCGGACACGAGCTACAAGTATCCTAAGATGACGTTAAAGCAAAACTCGGACAATTGTAAGCCAAGAAATAGGTCATTGCATAAAAAAACAATCAGGATTTCGCACTATATGATTGGCTGAGATAATTCGCACCACTTACACATCAGCCAATCAGAAGTATAATCCCAACCGCGTTTTCCCGCGCTTTGCGGCGGCTACATTTTTCTGTTGTAAGCTCTGGTTGGTTTCTCTCTTCATATACAGGATTTTTCTTCGCTGTGATTGGTCGGTTTTAATTTCAAAATTAAGAACCGCTTTGTTGCAAGTTGACGAAACGGCAAACTCATACCCTGTTTACAAGAGCCCGGACAAATTTTTGAACGGACAAAAACTTGCGCGGATCCGCCTTTTGTTTACACGTAACCCGCGGAACTGTGCAAGGTTTTCAACCGCAAACATCACTGCAATCTGCAGAGAATTTGCACGGTTTCGTGTAAATGGGTTGCACAGGTGAAAATTGGTGGTGTAAACTGGGTCTCGGGCTCGCATAGCCTTTTCCAGGCATTTAGCCGCATAGATAGTTTGGAGTGGCGCAAAGTAACTATCGTCACGCCGCTCCTAACTGTCTAAGCGCCTGCAACAGGCTAAGGCTCACACAGCTAAGTTCCGAAAAAGGCAAGGGTATCCTAAGGTTTCACTGCGTATTAATGGCGAAATCAGAAATACCTGTAAGAACTTGTTAACTTATCCGCATGATCTTGAAGAAGCAATGCTTGAATAAGCTCCTCAACAACATCCGCTATCAAAACTTCCGGTACGCCTCGTAGCCGAGCATACATATAGAGCAGCTCTCTTCCGGTCAGCTGATCTATTAAAGCGTCAAACTGAGGACAATAGCCAATACGCTGGCGAACCTAGAAACAACACATGTGTAATGTTAAAATTTGCCGAAAAGTTGTTTTTCGAAGAAAAAAATGAAAAATAACTCTGAATTTTGCTCCTTGCGGTGGGCGGAGAACTGGATAAAACACCACCTACCCCTCCCCTAAGCCAACATTTCGCCCTAAGTGAGAAGGTAGGTGTTAATGTTGGCTTAGGAGAAGGATAGGCGGGCAGCTTTCCAGAAACCTAAATAGATCCCGATCTGCAAGGGCGATTTCTGGGGCAACAGTTTTGGAACAATGTTGTAACAACTGGAAGCTATGTTGCAACTCTATGTTGCGCTGAAAGTTGTCTAACGTTGCGAATTGTCTTGTGTAGAGTTAAGGAGCGTCGGATGTACTGGAAATGCTAAGGCACCGTTATGGGAAAACCTATCCCGGGGTAGAAAGATCATTCACTTACCCGAGCTACCTTTCCTACATTTCCTTACAAACCTTGGCGAGCCGTTTACATGAGAAACAATCGGATGGCTCGGCTAGAGGCTAGAAGGATGATCCGCCCAGCCCGATCACCCTTTTTCGAAAATAGAGTCACCTTCCTAGCCGGAACAACTTTTCTCCATATAAACGCTTCAAAGCAAGTCAATCAGAGTAGGCGCGAGCGATATCCTCAGCTCTCGACCTAAACAAAGGGGTCAACTTTTTTCTCATATTAAAAAACGCTCGCTATAGTTGAGTCGAATGGGAGACTGACCCTCCTTTCTGGCACAACTCTTCTCGACACTTAAGTGACTTAACCAAACAACAGGCTGCTCGAATCAAAAAACGTACCCTGTTCATGTCCTCTCTGATGTCAAACCCGTCCACCACAGCAGTCCCGGATGTCATGGTCTCATCTCCAGTTAACATGCGAAACGTTGTTGTTTTACCGGCTCCATTGATACCAAGAAGGCCAAAACACTCTCTCATGGGAACCCCGAGGCACAGACTATCTACCGCTATCAATGGCGAACGACCTGGGGAAAAAAAACGTGGCTTATTTACTTTTTATCTTGATTAATTTAGTTAGTTCCTATCTAATTAATTATATCCACGATAACAGAGATCACGTAAGATGGTTTCCAAACAAGCCGCACCCGACCATTAAATAATACCAATGCTACAACCAACATAACCATACTTGTGATTAACTAAACGGAATCCCGCTACGCTGTCGTCCGATTTTGTTTATCACTCGCATGATGACAGACCGAACTGGACTCCACTCAGTCCTATTACCATTATATAGTACTAAAAGATCCCCGTAAAGCTCTTCAGGATATACGGTCTTTCCAGCTTTTATACTGGACAAAGCTGCACGTAGAAGTCTACTGTAACAATTTTATTTATTCTTACATGTAAAGGATCGATTTCCTCACTTCAGTGTCTGGCAGATATTAAGTAGAGTAGACTCAGAATTCAAAACCCTTTGTGTCCATCGTTCACTACTCGAGGATAATAATAATAATAAATAATAAACTTTATTTTATAGCGTCTATATCATTAACTGTTCTAGGCGCTTTACAAAAATGTATTAAAACTCTAAAAAATCTAACAACTGAACTACATATAAGTATGAAAATTAAATAGAAATCTAATTATAAATTAAGAAAAAGCTTGGTGAAATAAATATGTCTTTAAATGTTTTTTGAAAGAATTCTTGGGACTAGATCATCGCAGGCATAAATCACTACGGAGACACGCGAGGGGAGAGGTAGCTCCCTCACCCCTCGCGTGTCTCCCTAGCGCGCGCCCGTTCTCTCTTTCGCCCACAACTTCCAAGCGCCTGCTACGCAGGCTTGCGAATTGTACTCACGTCCATTTCCTGAGAAGACCTTAGTTAACTCTTTGATAGCAAGCACGTCGTCCATGTTCTCTGATGACATCACCCTTCTTTTTTCCTCTAAAACATCGTCATCTTCGGCCACTAAAGATTCTTCGCTCCGCAGCCCAACCGTGGAAAAACTACGCCTGAAGATTCCCGTCAATCGGTTGAAAACCCCATACTCAATTAATAGAAGAAGGGAGTAGAAAACGATCCCTTCTAAGGCCAGGAATACCAGGTAGCGTCCAATACCAGGGTTGTCCCAAGATAGGTAGTTCTCTTGAAACTCCAACTGACTGCCGCCATATTCTCGAATGAGCTTTTCGCACTCAGCTTTAGTAGGGTGAAAGTAGGGCAAATTGGTATGAAGACACATGTTAAGAGCCTTGTTAAAGAAATCCAGAGCATTGTAGTTATCAAACATATCAGTTAGGCCTTGACCCAGGCAGTAGTTCGGCAGAACAAGGAAGGCCCATTTCAGAGCGTTTGCTACGTCCAGGAGATCAAGGTCTAGGGTTAAATAAATAAAGAACAACAACAACAATATGTTAAAGAAGGTGCGTCACGAACTTTTAATGTCGCATTTCCTTTGGCTTGGCTTTAAATTTTAGTCTAATAAAAACATGACAACAAAACATGTACATATGGCGTAAAGGGGGGAACACCACTCCGCGATCGGCGTGGCGGACGACGTCCGTAGCGTGACCATAACGCCTTACTTATCTCCCCGGCGCTATTTTAAACATCGGCGGCGGATCAGACAAGTTCAGGTAGGTCCAAAGGAAACAAACTTTGACATGGCCTAACACTCCACGGCACTACGAGCTAAAACCTCCGCGCCATCATATCAATTTCCACCGTTTTGGTCTCAATTTGTCTTAAGTCTTAAGGCTCTCATTGACAAGGAAGATTTTTAAAAAAGACAAGTTACCTGGAATGCTTAGAATGAATACAGTCAGTAGACAAGCCAGGCCAGTAATAACGTTGAACATAGTTAGAACCACGAAGGCAGTGGAGGCGGTGCGAAAAACAAAGGAGAAGAGATACATGAGAGGAATGATGGCCCAGCCATACAACATCAGTAACATGAACAAGTAACCTACGCGGGGACCTAAAAGAAAAGAAAAAAACTTTGATTCAAATTACAAACTGGCGCACGGTATGGTTGATTAGATTAAAAAAAAAAACACTTTATTTGAGTGTCAACGTATATGTTTTAAGAGCCCTGGGTATTGGTCTTCCCCCGGGAATCGAACCCGCGACCTCCCGCTCTATAGGCAAGCGCTCTACCGACTGAGCTGATCCTGCCACAGTTTGAAAACGGAAAAGAAGCATAAAAATAGCATAAATTCGTGCCTATTGACTTCGCCCCTCACCCTGCAGAAAGAATCGTAAATGTAGACGTATTTCGCGTTAGCGAACACTTAGGCATAGTCCCAGTAGTTTGAGTTCCCAGCCCCAGTTCAAACCAGTTTTCCATGATAACATGCCATATTCATTTCAAAGTTCACGTCTCAGCACAGAAGATATTTTTACGGACGATTAATGATAGAAATGTGAGAGCTTTGAGACTCGAAATTGCCTTGTAGGCTTGTAAAAATACATAATATACTTACCAGTGTAGGCTGGCACGTCAAAAGCTGCTACAAGAATCAAAATCGACAGCGACGGGAGGAGAAAATTGATAAGGTCCCAGGTATAGGCAGAATCCCAGTAGCTAAATGGGTCAACACCGCTGACAAACTGCACATGTTTCGCTTTGTTGGCTCGTTCTTGAACAAGAAACACTACAAAGCTGGAGGCCAGAAAAGCCATGCCAAATAACACATTGAAGGAGATTTGGAAGCCGAGTCCATTGCTGCAGTAAATGGAAAAATTATAATGATAAAAATAATGAAATTATTACAATCAAATAAGGAGGGAAATTCACTAATATAACCTACATGCCAGAGAGTTTTCATGTGCGATTTCCCGTTTCGGTCAAGTCTATACAGTGACCTACTTTTTTCTCGTCGCTTGGCCGTTTGTGGCTGCGGCCCTTTGTCTGAAGATGTGTTGGCCTGCTTCCCGTAAAGGATACCCCTACCTCTGGTAACCTAGGTAGAACTTTACCCGAAAGTGGACTTCAGTCAAAAGCACAAACTTTTTCTACAGTCCTTGGTGCCTCATGTCTTCATGCACTGCAAACTACCTTCACATACGCAGTTAACCACGATGTCAAGAGGCCAAGTTTAAAAAATTATACAATTGGAAAAGGACGGGTAAATCAAAGAATAAACAGGAAAGAAAAAAGAGAGGAAAGAAGAGTTCACAGACTGTGTTATAGAAGAATCTAGACGGTTAATGTGTCGGTTAGCATTACCGCCGTAAATCGTTGATGGATTCTTGAGCTGTTCTAGGCAACGGGTGGTTTACAGTTGTCATGGAGACGTTTTTTCCCAGGACAGACCGCAGTATACCAGCGTCGGCAGCCGCAAGTGACACGGCGATAGCATGGTAAGCTTGGTTGTTGAACCACGCCGTAACATTAACTGAGAAACAAAGTGAAATGAACAAAGATAAGGAAACCTTTCAAGGCAATGGGCTATCTGACCAACCCACCCCTCCCTCAGTGCCAACATGGCCAGCCGCTGGTTTAAGGTGCTCAAACGTTTTTGCATAATAAAGAAAAAATAATCTTAACGTCACCACCAAGGTTTACAGAAAAAAATCGGCATAAATCTCCGATGGGATTCGAGCCGATGATATTGCAGATGCCGATCTGGCGTTGAGGTTTCCTTCAAATTCAAGACAATTCTGTGGGGTTCAAATAATGAATTGGAGCTCCTTCCATTGTCTTTTCATATTTTTTTAATGGTTTCACCATTTTCTCAGAGAAAGCATGCATAAATACAGTTGTCAGGGTGACGAAGTCTGGTTCTCTTTACTACAGAACTGGAAAGGTACTCTGCAGTGGTCTGGTTTTGATTTCTTTTGTCGAAAGACATGGATCCGTTTTTTTAACTTTCTAGAAATATGAACTTGAGTTGGATAACTCCCAAGAAAAAATCCTACCTTTCCTATTTTTCTTTACAAAAGTAGCAGCAATCAAATCATGCTTGTTAAAGCCTCCAAGTCCATCTTTCGTGGCTTCGGTCGTTAAGTACTTTTCCATATCACCGGTCACGTGAACAGGCTTTGTATCACCACCAGGCCACTGAGTTCGGAAATTTTCGGCTAACGATTTTGCCCCTGAAGAACTATATTTGGAAAACAAAAAACAACTATGATATGACTTCACACCTAAGAGACCAAGCTCCTGAGCTCAGCGAGATCTAAAATGTCAATTTTCGGTGTTGTGTATTTACATTTGTTTGAGGAGAAGATCAGCGAACAATCAGTAACTAAACACACTGTCTATTTGTTTGTAACAAGAGATATCTCCTTCCAGAGTGACTTTGCTCTTTTAGGAAAAAGGTATAGAAGTAAATTTTGTCATGCAAGCAAATTATGTTTTTTGTTTCGCTATTGGCTTTGTATGAACTGACGCCCCTTCCAACTTACTACAAGTATAGACTTCCCATCAAGAAACTACGGGACACACTCGGAACAAAATATAAACTAGACCTTTCTCGATAACTTTACCAATTAAAGCTTTCTTCGGCTCATGGACACCTAAGAGTGAACGGAAAGGAAATTCCTCTTTTTCTCTGTACTTTCCATCCATTTGTCAAACTTGCTTCTTCACACATCATCCCCCTTCCCACCGATGCTCCGATAACCCCACGTCACCTCTCCCCCCCTTAAATCATCGTGCTCTTAACTATGCGGACGCAGACGTATTTCCGGTCGTCGCATCTCTCCAGCCGAAAGTAGCCGCAGAGTCGTCACGCAACGCTCCTCCCTACAAAGAACGGCTACGAAGTCAGGAGACTAGAATACTTCAGGAGCCAACACTTACCCGTCTGAAGCCCAAGGAACGAAGTTGTTCTGGTAGTTATGTGTAGTCAGATCAAGAGGCGGTGAGTCAGTGGGCTGAGGAAAAGTCTTGGCACTAATGAGTGCAATAAGCGTAAACACCAGTGGAAGGAGAAGCTGTGAAATAAGGGACAGCTTGTGACGTTTGGAGTGAAGTAGGCGCTTAACAAACATTGCGTACCACCGCTGACGAAACAGACGAAACCCAGAAGAGTGGGTGTAGTTACCGTAGTCGCTAAAAGTGCCATAGCCACCAGACGCTGCTCCGAATGTTCCCAGTCGTGAAAAGACCGATCGTTCTGTACCATTTGGGATTTTTCCATTCACTTGCATTGAATTTATTGAGGAAGTCTCTGAGGAATCAAACGAAGTAATACAGTTATCTTCATGAAGCGTTCTCACCAACTTACAGACAAGTGTTCTCCAATGGTGCCTTAAAAGAGTGCGCGTAATACCTCGCGCAAACAAGGTAGCGCGCGGGGAGAAGAGAGAAAAGGAATGATGAGAAAAGGGATTTCATTGGGTGCCATTTGAAAAAAAACGACCATAAAGGATCGAACACATAGGCTCGGTCCAGTAGTCTCTCATTTTCTCACTTCTCCTGCGAGTCACCTTCTTCGTGGGTGGCGGGCCACGTCCATCTTGCCATCCGTAGCAACAGACGACAGGAAACAGTTTCAATGCCTACGTACAGTTTTTAAATAACAGAACTGTACCATTATTTCTGGAATTCTATCGATGTAACGACACATTTTATCTTTTTAAAAAGGCAGCAAATAGCGTGACATAGCCCCAGCCTTTAAAAAGAAAACGAAAGACATATTTTCTCTATCATAATCATAACCAACCTTCTTGATCCCGTTTTTGAAGTTTATCGCTGAGTGTGCTGTCCATTTCCTCCCCAACCTTTAGAAACACTTCTTCCAGTGTAGTAACTGAAGCACCGTAACTAGCGATGCCAAGCTCCTGCCGGCGATTTTCCAGCTCCAAGAAAAGCCCCTCGAACTTATCTGTAGCTTCACTTGGCAAAACAAATGATAGCTCAGCTCCTGCTCAAAGAACAACAACACAAATTGTAAGAATTACGTGCACTGTTCCCTTTTGCTTCTTGCCGCTGGCAGGTTTGTATGGTTTGTATGGTTTGTAATTTGAGCGTGAGTGTTCTACCACGTTCAACCCTTTACTTCTAATAGTAGCCGAGGAAAAAAATTACAAAATACCGGTAATTCAAATTTCTTTTTGTAAAATCCTACGAAATAAATAGTACTATGCAAACGTTCTGCCCAAGAGGTTTAATTTGAATGGTAACACCATAGGATTTCGTCCTAATATTAAAAAGTTACCGTAAAATGCCGAAAATAAGCCCCTCCATGTATAAGCCCCCCAAACTCGTAACGCAAAAAAACCCTCCGTTAAATCGCCCCTCCAAACATAAGCTCCCCGGGGGCTTGTACTTGGAAATTGCCCTCAAATACAAAGTAAAACAAAGCAAAAACGGTAAATTTTCTTCCAACTATAAGGCTAGCCCAATCGATTTTGAAACGCAAATTTCCCTCCGTAGATAAGCCCCTCCGAATAAAAGCCCCTCCAAAAATAAGCCCCTCAAAAAGGGCCTTTAAAAAATATAAGCCCCGGGGCTTACTTTCGGAATTTTATGGTAAGTGATAAATAATCTCACCACAACATGGCCTAGAAGTTAAAAGGGTTAACTTGAAAAATACGAGAAGTAGATACATACAGAGTAGATACCACGACGACGACGACGACGACAACGACAACGTCCAAAAGAATTGGTTTTATGAGCAAAACAACTGTTCTGCACGCGCATCACGCTTTTTGGTACATTTCCTTGACAAGACGTGAAACCTCCTAATGACAATGTTTAACTATGGTTTTATGGAGGGCATGAACATACGTGGACGAATTTTCCTTTCTCTTTTTGAACCTGGATATTTAAGTCCTCAAGAATTCGACTGCAGGAAAATTGGCCTTCATTTGACAAATAGAGCGGGGTCCAAATAGACGCGAATAAGTTTGAAAGGACGTAAATTCATTTTTAGCGACCTTTTTACTGCCGTTGTCGTCGTTGTTTAAGCTCCCCAATACGTTAAAACTGACGATCTCACAAGTGGTTAGAGGATGGTGGTATCACACGGGCAGCTGAACATATTAAACTCACCAACATTGCTCTCCAGCATTGCTGTAGGCACATGACCGCTCACCACAGATATAATCTTGGATACGTCACAATGGGGCTCCTTTACCATAGCCATGTGATAGCCCACTCCATACTTGTTCTTAAGGAAGAGGGAAGATCCACAGCATTTGATGTTTCCTTCTGCCATGATGGCGATCCTGTCACCAAGGATATCAGCTTCGTCCATGAAGTGCGTGGTAAGAAGTATAGTCCTTCCTTGCTTCTGCTGCTGTAGCAAATCCCAGGTGAATCTGCGTGCTGAGGGGTCCATGCCAGATGTTGGCTCATCCAGCATTACAACCTGTTAAAAAATAAGACTCAATAACATAATCATCATCATCATCATCATCACCATCATCATCATCATCATCATCATCGGTGTTTGTTTAAACTACAGGTAACTTGTAGAAGCTTGCACAGTCATGGCAGCTAATGAATACGGCGCTGCTTCTCCCTGTGTATGTGCGTGTGTGGGGGGGGGCACTCCCTAGACGGGAAGCTCCTTTTTCACGCTCCAGGCGTATGAAAAGGTAGGGAACTAATAAGTTTAAGCATGCAAAAGCGTAAGAAAATCATTTAAGTATTTCAGAGGGCCTTTGATTATACAGACTTCTTTCAATACGCACACATAAATAATTTTCTTGAGATGAAATTTTCATGTAGGGATAAAAGATGACATAACCATGCTAACCTTGGAATCTGAAATAAGTGCTATTCCAACAGAAAGTTTTCTTTTCATGCCACCAGACAGTGCACGGGTCTGTGTATGTCGCTTGTCAGCAAGTCCAATGCATTCAATCATTCTGTTGACCTCCTGCCGTACACGGTGGGATGGACAGTTCTTTAACTTAGCAAAGAACCACAGATGTTCCTCAACAGTCAGATGGTCATACAACACATCATGTTGAGGACAAAGGCCTGGAGCAAAATTTTCTGATTAGCAACAAGTATTTTATTCAGGGTTTCTAAAACACATGCTGGTGAATTCGGTGATGACAATGGTGGCGATAATGATGATGATGATGATGATGATAATGATTATGATGATTGATGATGATGATGACTGACGAGAGAGTGGCAGAAATCGAGCCTACTACCATCTCACAAATAACAAAAATAGCTTTAATTCTATGTTTGCAATATTATCATAGCAGTTCAGAACCTCTCTTGATTAGAAGTCAAGAATGTACACATAACTTACCCAAGCTGCTGCGCACTCCACTAATGTTATCTCTAATGGAACAGCCATTAACAAGAGCTGAGCCAGATGAAGCAGGAAACAACCCTGTCAGCATGGACATAAGAGTTGTTTTGCCTGCTCCATTGTGCCCCAGTAGAGCAGTTATCTGGCCTTCATACATGTTCAGTGATACTCCATTAACCGCAACTTTCTTTCCTATAAAATAAGAAAAAATAAAATAAATTTAAAAAGTACACTTTGGAAAGACTGAAATGAAAACATTATTTTTGAATCAAACAAGGAAACTTAGTTATCATAATTTGATTATGTGACTTATGACTTAAATCCAGGACTTCAGATAATTGGGTCCACTCATCAATACCCTGAGATAACAGTAGTTTTATGTAACCCCTCTTAAAAAATACTTTCTCTCGGGCTTGGTTTGGCTGTAAAAAAGGTGGGGAGCATTCTCCTAGATCCGCCACTGCTTATGAAGGTTACAATCTGGATTTCTTTACACAGTAACCTTATGATGAAACTCAGTAGAAGAGTAAGGTATAAATAAATTTTACCATGCTGGCAATACTCCTGGCAACTTGGTGTATACACATAATGGCATTTGGTTTTTATACTTACCCTGTCTGTATTGAATTGTCTTCAAACAACTTACACACCAGTTAGTGTTGCCTTACATAAAATAGCAAAGACACATTTATCTAATAATGATAACATGTATGTGAAAAGCTGTTCTCTAAGAAAAATAATAATTGTAGAGTGCACTGAGCCTGTGAAATCCAGGGTGCCCAGCATATGATTCTTAAGTAAAATCGTCAATGATATATCCTAGTCTGCACCCAATCAGTGCCAAATGAAGGTCCCTGGGGTCTCTAGGTCACCTCCAGGTGATTTTAGAGCAGAGCCCTGATATATGAAGAAATAACTAACTCAAGTCAAACCTTTTTCAGTAGAAAACACTTTCTTGAGGTTTTTAATTTCAATTCCAGGCACCAAACTCACTGGTTCCTTTTCTAAGAATTCAGGTGCTGACATCCCAGTTTGGCTGGAGCCATTTTCTAAGTCATGGAACTCTTTTATCTCCACCTAAAGAGAATAAATATCAGAAATTTAAGAGATTAATTAAAAGCAAAAATAAAGGCATAAGTAACTTTTAGGGTATGGTTGGCCATGTGCAATCAGGAGTACAAGTCTAAGAAGAGTAATAACGCTATATCTAACGACAATGAAAAAAGCAGCAGTGGAGCAGGAGTTTATAATGGGGGCAAGACAGATGTTAAGTGTTATGGCTGAAAGAGGAAAAGTATGTACTAACCATGACCTTAAGATTTATGGTCATTGTGCCTATCATTTTGCCAAACCCTGCTAGCTCACCTCATAAGTCAATTCACTAACATTTGTGAGTTCCCTAAAGTCTTTTGCCCAATGAGTAATCAGTGGCTTAAAGAACAAACCAGGTATGTATGCATAGGTGTCACACTTTTGTGTGTCATGGCTTAAAGAACAAAGTATATACATGTGCATCACTGGTTCAGTTTCGAGGACCTTAACGAACCGGACATTAGCGAAATGATTCATAGGCAAAACAACCAGTCACCAGCACCACTTGGTTTTCAAACATTCACTTACCCCATCCCCACTCCTACATTTATCTAATTACTTACGATGGAGATAGTTTAATGATTCTAGGTACCAACCTTTCTAAAACCAGTCTACCTTACCTCTTTGCCTTTACCACACCAGTAACTGGGTAAAACAGGAAAGTACCACGGCTGTGGAACACCGAAGTCTCCAGGAAAAACAGCCTCAACATACCAAGCAATGAGACCATAGATCAAGGAATCTACCACAAACATGACCATGACAAGACCAAGAGTAAAATCATCATCGATAGAAGGTCCCTGGTCAAGATTTGACCACTGAGATCCGATGCCAGCTCCTTCAAATTTGCCAATCAGCTGAGCTCCCATTGACATTGCGACATTGGAGAGAAGGCACGATGCAGCCTTGGCTCCTACGCTCATTGTGTCATAGTACTGTGCCACAAAAAAGTATGGGATGTAATTGCAGAACCAGATGATCCCTCCAGCAGCTGCAGCAATGTTTGCCTTGGAGAAGAATACACTAACGCAGAAGCAGAACATTATGGAAGAGATTGCATAGAGCATGAGGAAAACAAACAGAACAGTTGGAGAAGTTTTGTTCAGGACACGGCCATTGGAGTTGAATTTTACAGTAAAGAAAAAGGTTGCAAAGGCCATAATGATAAGGAGGAACAAGAAATACTTTGTGAACCATGCAAGCCAATGTAACCAGCCACTCAGTCCCATCATCTTCATCGATTCCTGTCAAATTAAGTAGAATCAATACCTGTTTTAAAATTGATCAAATCTATCAATGAATATAATGTAAAAGGTAGATGTTAAAGTGCATGTAGCTGGGACTGGCTAAACTCATTGTCTATAAAAGCAAGAATTACTGCACCAATTCCCCTTGGATAGGATGCTATACATAGTCCAACTTAGGGTTAACCCAGCAACAAGCAATGATTCCAGACTACTATCCATTTATACAACTGGGTTAAGTAAAGAGAGACGTTGTGAATACTGGTTTTCCGAAGGAAAGCAAGGGGATACAAGGTGCAAAGAAAGTCATTTTTACAGCTTGCCATTAAGGCAAGCTGAAGCTAACATTTACTAGCCCAAATATCATTTCAACTAGCCCAAACAACGTTTTGATGAGCAGATTGATTTCACAGTTCTTCTGTAATTTGAATTCCTCAAAAAAATTCATTTGCCCATCGGGCAAGTTAATAACAAAATCCACTAGTCCTGGGCCATCGGACACTACTTTCTCTGCACGCTAGGATACAAATAGAGTCTAGTTGACAGTATTGGACAACCCTTGGGTTAATATAATTATTATTTGCTGGGAGCAGGTGCAGGTCCAACTAGAGGTGTTAGGATTGGGGCAGGGTTTGAGTTACAGGATCAAGTCAAGCCTTCGCACCTGCACATCCACAAATTAGATTCTCCATGTTTATCAATGCCTGTTTCTTTTTTATTTTTTACAACATTCAAATTTCTTAACCTTGGCAGCCAAAGTTAGCATAAATGTGGCAGATTACATGTTAGGTCTGGATTCCTTGCCATTGTTATATTTTGCTTTCCTAGACAAGAAATTTTGAGTATAGTGGTGAAAAGGCAGAAAGTCCTGCCTTAGTGTACAGGATCCATTAAACATGAATAGATTCCACTGGAGATTTTCATTTTCTATTCATGAGCCAATTATGTTGTACGAGAGGGTAGAAAAGTGTTCCAATGGAGCATGCATGCTGAATGCATCAATTATTGGTTATGAATAGATTATATTCCACTGGAAATTTACATTTTCTACATGACTGTTAAATCTGAGCACAACTACTGCTCAGGGTCATGGATGAAGAGCCTTCAAATGTTATTAACAATGATCAATAAAAATAAAAATTGAATTTCCTTACCTTTAATTTTTTCTCTTTTTCATAGACAACATCACGGACAATGTTCAAGGCAGTGAAAATAAGAGATAACATCAAAAGAAGAGGAAGGCTAGTTTGTATAACTAGAACAAAATTGTCATGAGTGTAATCAGGATATGGAAACCGCTTCACTGACACTGTTGTATTCAGAATGTCAATCTTCCCTTTGTACTTCATGATAGCAACATCCACTGCATGTTGAATTGCCAAAAATCCAGCTTCAAAATAAAATGGAGGGCCACCGTGGGAGGCATTTTTGTTCCTTGGTCCTGGAACTTGTAAAACTGGAAATGTAAACTGAGTATTCCAGGTTGTAGAAGGACTTGTACCAAACCCTTGCCTTTCTTCCTTGCCACCATTTTGCTTTATATCAGTCTTTGAGCTCAGTCTGATCTTGTATATAATATTACTACTGTTCAGGCTTGTATTGAAGACAATTCCTCCGAGGAATGTTTTGTTATTGCCTTGTAAACTGACTAAATAGTTAACCATATCCTCTTCACTGATAAAGGGCTCAGCATGTGTAAATCCAAGCTGCTTCACAGTGTCGTTGATAACTTCTTTTACAGCACTAGTGTTAGGTGCAAATGCAATTTGATTGAGTTTTGACACATCTGATGGAAGTTTATTCACCTCAAAGGCAGGATACGTGACATTTGGTTTGTACTCATTCTTTATCTCGAAAGCTCGCAGAAAGACTAGGATGGCTATGAACAGGAGAGGCATTGCAATCTGAAAAAAAGTTCGCACTGGGGCTCTCTTAAGAAGGATGAAATTTTTCCACATTAACAGTGAAAATTGGTTTGCTCTTGCCATGACTGCACTACAAGACCTGTTTGATTCTAGCAGGAGAGATCAATATTTTACTAGAAAAGAAAATACACCCTTAGGTCTTCACATCCACTGTCAGTTTATCTGTGAAAAGATAAAAGACATATCATATATTACAATATAATAATATTAATAATTACTATATCTGTGTGGAAAAAGGTGCCCGCTAGGTTTTCTCTTGAATATGGGCACCGCACAAAATTAAACAAGGGGGAATAGTCACTTGAAGGCAATTTTCACGGACTCTCAGGACAGGGTAGAGTGCCAAAATTTGATTATGGCCTTACACCCCCACTGGAATGAAGAGGACGAGTGAGTGCATGAGTGTTTTATATGAAACCAAAATAAACCAAACCAAACAGGCAGCCAAACCAGTAAAATTATAAGGAGAAAATGGAACGACATTGATTGAAAGGGCACTTTCCATTCAACTAAAACTTTTGAAAATTTGGAAACAAAGGCAAATTGTACAGAAATTTCCCAGAAAAGTTTCCAGAAATTCCACAAGCTGTTGAAAATTCGAAATGTGAACCTTTCAACCAAAAATTCTAGAAATTCGGAGAGCAAAGTTGAATGGAAAGAAAACTTCCAGGAAAAAGTTTCCGAAAATCTGGTTATACCTCGCAAGGTTGTCCTCTTTTTACAAATTTTGGAAAATGCTATGCCATTCTCTACTGGAAGTTGCCAAAAATGCAAACCAGACATTTTGGTTGAATGGAAAGCACCCAAAGTTACCAAACAAATTGAAGTGGTCGATTCGGTTTTGACTGAAAGTTTGATTACTGCTTGGCAAAGTAGAAATGGAAACGAGAATTTTTTGACATGGAACAACAAGTTTCGATCGGATCAGACCGACCGGTCAAAGAGGACCACCTGTGGAAGTGGACCACTTTGACCACAGGTAGCCCAAGAACAGATTTTGTTTATTTTCATACATTCTCTTATAAATTCGAAGTCCAACGAACTCCCACAGAGTGTGGGCAGCCTGTGCTTTGACCAGAAAATTTCTACATGGAAGGAAGCATTCCATTTATTTCTCAACCGAAATTTCCGAAACTTTTAGCATGATGGAAAGAAACCATACGAGTAGATCAGAAACAAGGGGACTGGAAACAGTTATAATCGGCAATGGATACTGCAGTTACGCTCATGGGAGGTTCCACTGTAGTTAAATCGTTGTGCATCGCAAATCCATGTAAATAAATGCATGCAGAGGTAAAAAGAGAAACATACAAGTTGATTTAGCATACCACGCCAAACAAAATCAATTACGTAAGCCCGTGAATTAACCATTCCTCTAGCCAAGCAAATACCGGTGCATGCATTTCAATTGCAAACTACATGCATGACTCGATGTAAAATCTCCATCGCAAACCTTTCGGTTTCGAGACTTAACGTAAACACTTACCTTAAAAAGCTTGAACTTAAGATAACTCCGAACTGCACTAAACCACGTTCGCGATAAATTTTATACTCGTTCACGAGCAGTTCATCACATGATTCCAGACGCAGTTCCGCGTTATTATTCATGCGTAATGTCCCCAAAAATAAAACAAGGTTTTTTGCACAGTCACCGGTTTTCTCCAATAACAGTAGGGTAACCAAGCCTCCAATCATAACGGTAGAGAAGACTGGTACCAGCATCCGAGAAAATGGCGGACAAGTTGAGAATTTGGATCGATATTTCCACCGTGAGAAGAATGTGTTCTACAGCGTTGCTTCTCTGTTAGTTACTACACAATGGAACGTTGTATCCATCTGAGACATTTCGTATTCGCCTGTTCCAGGGGGATTGGGCAGCTGTTTAAGGCAGGTCGACTGTGTTGTGGGAAGACCACATGTATCAACACACGTGCGTTTCCACGGACTTCGTTTTGCCGCTATGCATCTTCGACAAATGGCGCTGAAGAGGAAAAAAATGATAATCCACAGTTAAAAACTATGAAGAAAGGAAAAAGTAAAGGAACTGTTTTCGTAAATTTACTTGAAACGAAAAAGGAGGTTAGTGTAGCAGCTGATGATGGGCTAGCCTGGCATTCGCCGAAAGATTAACTGATAACTATGTCTAGAGCAACCTCCACGTAGCGTGCCCATATTTACTTCAAAACCTGGTAAATAATGCTTTTATCATCAGCCATCCTTGGGGGTTGACCCTGGGGTTATTGCAGGGAACCCCTCTATGACCCATTCTCTCTTCCAGTACCTCTCTCCTGGGTGCATTACAAATCCTGCAAGTCTTCATTGGGGGATCCTGCTACAAAAGGGAAAATACGATTCAATTCTCCCATCCCAGGCTATAATTTTGCAGCAAATGTCAACAAATTCTGCACCATGCCCGTGGATGTTCCCAGGATTGACCCACCGCAATAATAATAGTAATAATTATACTAATATTCCGTTATTTACCCTCGGCAGTATTTATAGCACTATTGCTAGTGGGGCCGAGCAAATGTCTGAAACAAATAATTCAAATCCAGCTAGTGGTCAGAGCGAGACTTGAACTGGGGTCCAGCGCTCTAACCACTTGGCTACGCTGCCCCCTGAATGGCCACTGATAATTGCGAAATGTGCAAAGTTCTCTTTGTTATGGCTCATTTAAAAATCTTTTTTCCAGGAAATTTTGAGGGAGCTTAATATTCGGAGTTTAGAGGAGCTTTCAAACACCAAGGGGATAGGAAAGAGTAAAGCAACTGCTCTTGTGGAATATCGTGATAATTTTGGACCATTTATTAGCATTGAGGAACTCTTTCAAGTTAAAGGCTTTGGTGTGGCATTTTTTAAAAGACTTGAAGAAGCTGGTGAATTAGCACCAGTCAAGAAAAAGACTACCAAAGGACTCGAACAAATCTGGAATTTTTTGGATTTGAATAGGAGAGAGGTGAGCATCGTACTGAAGCTAACAATATTGTGGCCATTTGTCTTATGATGTGTGCATCTTGTGTCTCTGGGCAACTTAATTACAGTGTAATAATAATAATATTATTAGATGATGTGAATTGCAAAAAATACAGTTATTTTATTTTTTGCAATTCACATCATCTTTTCATTCCTTTCATTGGTTAAGATGAACTCAACAAATTAGCCTGCTCCCAATCAATGAATGGTTCTTCATAGCTCAGT